ATAATTTTGCAATACTAGACACTGACTAGATTGAACTCTGAAACAAATACTTCACATCTATCATATTTTTGGTTAATAGTGACAATGAACTCCCAAATACAGAATTTAAATGTAAACCGACTTAATTTGTTATGAGTTAAGTCATGTTACTGTGATGAATAAAGCCAGTCCAAGAAAGATAACTCGAATGATCTACTAGTTTCGGCTTCGGCAAATGTCGTCAGTTTCCGCAACCCCAGTTGCCATGAAACATGCGCCAAACCTTCTTCCTTTTGGAAATTTCTAGAACAAACGAAAACCCAGCAATCCCTCCCTCCCTCCCATTATTTACTATAATCGCAGTTTCTGAATTATTTCGTTTGGTTTTTTGTTGCTGTTTCTTTCCTTGTATCTTTTTCAGGATGATGTTGAACTCCTGTACCATGTTGGCAATATGGAAGTTCCACATCATGGCTTTGCTCATCGTGCGGTTCGACTCTGTCTGCCAAATTTTGCTTGAAGCACCGCTGCAGGTTCTGTTATCTTCCAGGTCCTGTGGCCAATAATTGTGCTTCCGTCATTTTGTCATTGAATCTTCTACATCATATTCTATTGATAAAGTCGATATAGACCATTTTGTGTGAACTCATTGCTGATCATTGATCTTTGCGTCTCAACTGCTTGTTGACAATTTTATTCCCATACTGTTTGGAACTATTGAACAAATATTGATCATTGTATATATTCATTGTATTGTACCATTGAACAGTCATTGTTATTATACCTCTGTCAATTTTTTCTATATAAAAATATTACGAATAAACCTGCTATTTTTTCCAAACAGCCCCTACCGTGGAATAGTTTTTGTGCTATTTGCCCATGGTGAAATAGTCATTAAACTATTCACCGGCAGCATTCTGTTTCCCTCGCTTTTCATCTCGGAACTCTTCTGGTTTTATACAGATTGTGACGTAACACAAGTAAAGACTGCTTCGGTATAATAAAACACTTATTTACTGACTATTCGGACAATAGCAAGTTTATCGTTCCCCTCGACAGCAACTATTTCCCTCGGCTGCGCCTCGGGAAATAGTTGCTGTCTTGGGGAACGATAAACTTGCTATTGTCCTCATAGCCAGTAAATAGGTGTATAATATTTGTATGCATTGTATGATTATTCATCTCTCAATTTATCTCAAAGTAAAACCATGACAGAAACTTCCAAATCATTGTTGCTTTATTCTAATAAATAAATAATTTTCCAGATATAAAAATACAAAAACATGAGATTGCAGATCTTTATAATCTTTAATTCTTGACAATCAAGCAGTTGGTCCAGATTGCATCAGTCACAAAATATTCGTCTTGTAAAGACACTAGTACTATATCAAATCCACTGTGCATATTATTTAACAAATCATTATCATTAACAACATTTCCTGATTGTTTGAAACTTTTAAATAGTCTTCTTGAAAAGGTCAAGGAAAGTCCATTTTTTGATTCCTCGACACCAGAATATAGGTTCAAATCTGTTATTATGGATATTGCAAATCATAGGCTTTTTAAAGCCCCGCGTTTTACTGAAGAAAATGCAGCTAAAACAATCCGTTTTTTTCCTTTAACTTCAATATGCCAACAAAGGAACTGACGCGATTAATATAAGTAATATCCTTAATCACAAAAGGGTCCAGTCTTGTATTCCACCATATTTCAAGTTAAAGACTACACCTTGTATTTCCTACAAATATACATCTACTATTGCTTCCAAACTTTTTAATTACAAGAAAACTTTACAGGGCCTGGAAATCGAATATCTGAAACATAATCCTCCATCGTGTTCATGTTCTTCTTCACCCTATAACTATGGTCCTACTGGACACGTTATTACTGGTGACGTAAATATAGTTGATAATGAGGACCTTAGATCAATAATTTTAAAAGGTCCTAAATATAGGGAACCCCGATCCTTCAACTGGCATCGGAATTTCATAAATATTATGGATTCTGTAGATGATTACGCCAGGCGATGGGCCAGACATGAAAAAGAAGACTTGACACTTTGTCAGAATGGATTAAATGTATCAGATTTATGTTAAAATCGCGCATTAAAAGATTGAGGGGCAATATGAGAACCTTCTATCCTACTGTATTCAATAATCCAGAAGTGAAAAAAGAATTAGATAGATTACATGATCAGTACGTACTGGTCCCTGCTGACAAAGCAGGTAACAACATTGTCTTTGTTTGTAAGGCTCATTATATTAAATGTATTTTAGAGGAACTTGAATTTAATTCTACAAGTGGTAATCCAACTTATACTCATAGTTCCCTTTCTAAGGAAGAAATTCTTCAAAATCATATGTCAGTTTTGAATATTTTTAATATTCCAAACAACCAAAATGAATTTGAATTACCATATCTTACAAACAAAGATACATAGCAGGTTCCAGTAAATGTTCATCCAAGCCTCTTTCTTTACTCCTCACTAAGATATTAACAGTAGTGAAGGAGAAACTTCCAGAGTACTGTGCAACAATATATTCGAGAAGTGGTGTAAATCAAATGTGGATACTTAAAAATTCCAAGGAACTTTTGGAAAATTTGAAATCGCAAGAATTAACCAGAATCAACAGCTAAAAAAAAAAATTACGACTTTTCAACTTTATACACAACCATTCCCCATGATAAATTAAAGTCCAGACTTTTTGATATCATTGACAGCTGCTTTTTCAATAAAAATGGAACTCGTAAATTTACTTACCTTGCCATTGGTCATTTGCAAAATTAATTTTGTTAAAAAACATTCTGATTGTATACACAAGTACTCTGAAGTTGGCATTAAAAAGATGCTTGAGTTTCCGATTGACAATATCTATGTGGTTTTTGGAGACCAGGTCCTCCAACAATCTATTGGAATTCCCATGGATACCAATTGCGCCCCGTTATTAGCAGACCTTTTATTGTATTCACATGAAGCAGAATTTGTCCAAAATTTTATACGTGAAAAGTAGAAAACACTTGCTGTGGCCTTCAACTCGACATTTAGATATATCAATGACGTATTGTCAATTAACAATGGTTATTTCCATTCTTATGTCGATTCGATATATCCCGGCGAGCTTGAGATAAAAGATACCACAGAGTCTGACACATCTGTTTCATATTTGGATATTTTACTTGAAAAAGACGTTAATGGTAATATAACAACCAAGCTATATGATAAACGTGATGACTTTAACTTTTCAATCGTCAACTTCCCTTACTTATGCAGTAATATACCTTCATCACCTGCATACGGGGTTTATATCTCTCAATTCATTCGATACGCAAGAGCATGCTCTACGTATGTACAATTTCTAAAACGAGGTAAATTATTGACAAACAAGTTGATGAAACAAGAATATCAGCAGTCTCGTTTATAGTCATCATTTCGTAAGTTCTATGGTCGATACAATGACCTTGTCAGCAAATACAATTTATCATTGAGTCAAATTCTGACTGACGTTTTTCATACTAATTGATAGGCCATTATTTACACACTGAATTGTCGACGGATTTTTCCGTTATTTCCCGATCATGACAAGGAGCACACGGCGGGTGTGACCGGTAGGCAGGGGATGCTCCCTCTTCCATGGCACCTGATCCCACCTCTGATGTTTTGGAGGTCCGTGTTTGCTCTGCTCCTATTTTGTAATGTTTAATGGACTTTTGAGCTTGAATATTGTTCGTTATCTCCATATATTTCATTTGGAAATTAGCAAATGTTCTTTTATTATTTAACAAAGATTACCCCACTCTAATTTCAAATTATAGACCAGTCTTTTTGCTGAGTTGTATAAGCAAACTATTTGAATGAATTATTTTCAAATATGTGTGCAATTACTGACATTCTCATAATCTTTTTTTTTAAGTCAATCAGATTTTTTACCTGTCCACTCTACAGTGTATCAGCTTTTAGAAATATACGATGATGTCGTGAAAAGGATTGTAAAGGTAAATTCTGTTGTATGGTTTTTGTGATTTATCCACGGCATTTGATAGAGTCGGGCATAAATGCTTTTATAAACTTAAAATGTATGGAATTAAGGTGATAAGCTAAAATAGTTTGAAAGTTATTTAAGCAACAGAACACAAGTCATGTATAGAAATTTGCTTTCCTGTGTAGGTCATGTAATAACTGGAGTCCCTCAGGATTCAATACTTGAATCACTATTTTTTTTGTTTTATGTAAATGCTGTTGCTCAAAACATGACATCTGATTGTATATTATATGCTGATGATAACTCCCTACAGCAATGTTCAGATAATATCATTCTTATTGCGCAAAATCTTAATCATCATCTTAGAACACTACCATAGAATGCTTTGGTAGTGTTCTAAGATGATGATTTATTTTTTGTACATAAATAATTAATTGAGACCATAAACGATTCTTATTCAAAAATACCTTTTGTCATAACTTTTTAATATAACGTTATACAATAAAAAAAAAAATTGGTAGACTTACTATAACAATAAATTCAACCAATTTGAATATTTAAAAAAATCAAATATATCACGATATGTTTCATTTTTTTTTAAATTTTCATTAGCCAATTGTTTAAAGTCATATCTCAAATAAATGGCACTTAAAACGAAATGAAATTAGAACGTTCAAATTAAGCATTGTTACCATTGTACATAATTTCAGATGCCTAATTCTAAATGTGAAAAATTGCTTCGTTGAAAAAAAAACGTGTTGAAAAAAATACGTGTAAATTAATTTCAGAAAACAACCTTCATTGAAAATAATTACGGAGCAGCGGATAGTAATACAATTTCGCATTGCACTCGGGAAACAAACTCTAAAAGTGCTGGAAAAACATATTAAAAATGAGCCATGCATTCGTATATGAAGGGCAAAGACGGTTTAGCTGTTTATAAAGCGTAAACTGCCCCAACCCAGGTTATACCAGTATAACTTGGGTATCTATTAAATTCATTCCTTAATTAATCTATTTAAAAAATTGAACAAGGTATAATTTTAATTCTAATATCAACACAAGATACAGGTAAGGTTAAGATGGCGGATACGTGTATGAGCGTGCTACTGGGCGATAGAAGGCAGTGACAGGATTTTCATGACGTGAACCACAACGATACCAGTAATACTTTGCGCGGGCAAAACATGTTTCTGTACTGATGTCTATAAAAATAAACGATAAATTAATAAATGAAGTTACTATAAGTTTGTTTTAGATTTATAGCATTAGTAACTCAAAATTTGATCGATCATGCTCACTAGCATGTTTCATGTCTATTCTTCTTTATCCTCTAATAAGAGCAATTAATATTTTTTTATATTACTCGTATCATGCATATATAGTTATGCATTCATCAAATAAATAGAAATGCTTTTATCATAATAAATGTGATTTATATAAGGATTTTGAAAGCTTTGGAATATGCTTATCAGCTAAAGAAATAAGACTTTTTATTTAATTTTCACCTGAACCAGCGTTGGATGCCCCTAAAGCATCGTAGAAGGAAGTGTGTATTGAAGAATCTGCTGCACATGCGTCCATTTGAATCCAACATCCGGCGCCTGCTGTCACAGTTTTACCTATAGAAATTAAATTAAAAGATATAAAGTAGTTCTACAAAAAGTAAGCATGAACAACGAATATTTTGCAATTATCAACTTAATTCAGGTCTACTCAGTAGCTGGAAAAAGAGAAATTCTTTAATTACTAGTATTACATTTAACTTAAGGTATTTAACCGAATTAGTTCCAGGTAGAGTATTTTGTTAACCTTTTAATGTAAATCACATACGGTACCAATTTTGATGCATTCCAGACATATTTTATTTTTCAGATATTCCATCGATTAATTAAGCATTTGTTTTTAATCATGATATGTAAAATCAGACAAAATAACAGCGGAATGATTTTACAGTTTAATGTATATATATTGCTAAATATACCCTCATTCAAACTTAATGTATAGAAAACGTCACAAGACAGACACTGGGATTAGATCAAAGAAGTTTGGAGAATTAATGTTTGAAAAAAAAAATCAGTACTAGCTATGCTACATCCAGTCGGATGTATTATAGTGCAATTAATTGTGGTGTATTATACTGCAAATTCCTGATTGGTTGCAGGTGTGATGATTTTTTCGTTTTCAAATTATTCAAGAGGCCTATTGCACCGGTGCTCCAGAAACTGTTATGAAGGTGTAACACAGCTGCAATTCATGATCTAGGAACTGTTGTAAATCATTTGACCCATAGAGAGTATCCAATGTTGTGCTCGAGTCATGGAAGATGGAAGTCGACAGGTTGTCTGGTCAGGTTGATTGTCTTATATTGAAGGCTTACCACGTACAGGTGGATTGCCTAATGGCGGAGGCATGCCACATTTGAATTATTTAGACCATTCTTATTGAGACTGACTACAATTATGATGTCTAGCATTTTAGTCTAGAGATTGACTTCCTCGACGTTCGCCTATCTTTGTCGTTCCTCTGCGATTAGGGAAGGTGTAGGACTTCAGAGGTAAGTAGTTCACTGTCCGTCCTGAACAACGCATTTAAACAGTAAGTACAGCTTCTGGAGTTTATTAGACTAGGGCTTGTCCCTGTGGTAGATAATACTTCTGAATAAGGCATGCTTCTATCTAGAGTTGCATTAGTAATTGAGGTCGACCAAGTGTGATTTTCCCCTAAGCAAGGGAAGGACCTTCTTTGCATATATTTGCAGACCAATAGTACATATAAAGCCAAATCGTTTTGGAGAGGATAATTATGTCATTTTAATTTGTTTAACATAGCAAAAATATGTTTTGGCATATTAAATTAATCCAAACCACAGATCCTGGAATGAACCGGGAACGGACCCCTTAATAAGCCTTCATAGGAATTAAACCGAATATAAAGATTTCAGCCGTGTTAACACGAGCATCAACGATTCCCCTATACTATTTTGACAACTTGTTGATTACAAACTTTCTCAGACGATAAAATGCAGCGATGGTGGTCTTTCAAATATTTGTTTGGAAGATCGGTCTTAGCAATTCACGTATAAAGACATCATAAAATAGAATACCTGTTGGTAGAAATATGCTCGTGTACGGGTAATCGGCATGGCTACCACAATAACGGTACTGTGCGAGAGCACGTGACAAACAGTTTTGCTGAACGTTAGAGCCGTTTCGTTCACGCTCGGCATACGCATCGTGGTGGATAATTCCTGTCTTTGGAACATGATAATTATGATCAGGGCATCCATATTCTGCAAAGAAGCAGCCTTGATTTCCTCCCAAAGTCATTGCCCCTAAAATAGGAAGAAAGTAGTTATAATTATGAATTTGTGCTATGAAAATACCACTCAATGCATAAATTCAATTAAAAAATGCATTTTATATCTTTACAATAAAAGCGGTCAATATGTGTTTTGTATCGATGAAATATTTTTCATTAGGTGGACTGATTAATATATTGTAGTTTTAAGTCACTAGCAGGATTATTTCATTCACGTGAGACGTGTCATTAGAGAGAATATGACTCTTTTAAATTTAAAAAAATGAATCTAGATATCTGTTCTACGAAGTCTTAAACCTTCCATATAGGAGACCTAAAGTTTATGAAAGTTGAATCCAATACTACTGTTCCAAGAGATCTTAAATCTTTAGATTTACATAACATTGTTACACATTATGTTTACTTAGATCTATACACGGAATTACAGCTTTCAAAAATTATACCTAGATGGTTGTTCTAAGAGGTCTTTACCTTTTCAAATATCAGTCTTAAAGCTTAAAAATGTGAATCAAATATTGCTGTTACAAAAAGCCTTTAATCTTTAGATCTTTAATCTTTAGATTCCGTACATTTACATGGCACAATATGTTTACATAGTTCTATATTCAGGGCCAGAACAATAAACATTCTTATTACCATATTATATCAAGGGCAATGAAAACTTTTCCAGATATTTATCAAAATCAGATCTACATTATTACCAGTTGGTCCGAATATGATATGGAAATAGGATTCTGTTCCACAGTATTGGACGTAGTGTGAAACTCTATGGAGACAAATAGACTGGGTGACACTGGCCATGGGATCAGAGTCTTGATGAAACTGTGTACTACTTTTGGATATCAATTCTGGATGAGCTGTGCACTTCTCCACATACAGCCAGCAACCTGTTTGAAATAACTAATAAGTGTTCATGTAGAAAATGGGCAGAATTTCATATTTCTTTTCAATCATCTTCTATCTATTTTTATCTTCCTTTTTAAGATGGTTATTTGAAGTAATTTAAGTGGAACTACACTTTAGTGCTGTTTGAAGGGGAGGGGCCGACACTCTGATAAGAATGATAACTTGTCAAGTGAAAAATCCTAATATTACTTACAGTTTATCTTATCAGAATTTACTTGCAGTTTATCTTATCAGAATTTAATAATTGAAACCTTTGAGCAAATTCATTCAAGCCCAATATATGAAGGAAACAACCTCTATTTCCTTTTGTCTAATTTTTTTCAAATAGTTTTATTATATTTGACATAAAACATTTACACCCAGTTTTAAAACCTTTCCAAAGTGGATAAGTTCTATCTTTGTATAAACCATTTTTAAAATGCTTTGATGTATCATGTACCATATACAGAATTTTTATAACTCCATGTATAACTTTTTTTTCATTGAAAAAATATTTTTGAAGGAAGAAAACTCTTTCTAATGTATTTATTCTTTTCTTACAAGCACAGATAACATTGTGATATCCTGACTTTATATCATGATCTGACATATGAATCATTTCTGAAAAAAAAAAATAAGCAGCGCTTCATAAATTTTACTATTTTTCATTTGAATCTAATGCTATAGCTCTTGATGAAAATCAATGTTGGGAAGTTTTTGTTTTTTGCTTCTTTTTTTTGAAAAATGTGAAATTCAGAGCAGGTCATAAGTATTTTTCCACAAGAACAAACAAAGATTATCAGGTTACAATACAGCTAAAAGTCATACATGTTAGCTACTTTACCATGCTTTGGAGTTGAATGAATGGTGTTAGGAGCGGATCCATCAGGTAAAAAAGAACCCTTTGGTGTGTTCGTTACAGGTGCATAGGTGGTACACGGTGAAGGGGATTTTAAAGTGGACACAGAATGTTCAGCGTATTCTGAAAGAGTTATCTTTGAAAGGCAGTGTTCCACTCTGTACACAATTGTTTACATACACATCACTTACACAAAATTAGCTTTCTCAAAAATATAGTAATCCAACTATCAAAGAGGCTATCCCTTTTCAAAAATCGGATTCTTTCTATAATGAATTCTGACACATAATTTATTCACATAAAACATTTTCTCATAGCAAGGTAATTAAAAAAACATTTTGTTGCAGTACTTTGGCTACAAATTAAGCTATGATATTTACGATTACGGAATAATATATTATGTTTGTTTACCAAAAATCCGACTTCACTTAATTCAAAATCATAAGAAGTGTTCCTTCCCATTAGATACCTACTTTTGGTGTTATAGGAGGGCCCCACAGGGTACCGCGGACCAATTTCATTCAATTGCACTGGTGTTGGAAAGTGAACTCTGTTCGTAAATTCTGATAATAGGCATCTTGGTCTGAAATCCTTCACATTCACGTTGAAGAAATCAGAGGAAAGATCTGTCTGAAATATTAGTACTGGAATATTTATTTTTAATTCTTTATTATCATTAAACTTTCGAAAGGTGAATTCAATGAATCATTTTTTTAATTCAGCAGAAATATAAAAATATTACATGTGAATCAGATTGAAATACAAGCAAATTCAAAGCAAAATTATGTATAAAACGGAATGGCTCGGGAATAGTACAAACATAAGATTAATGACATATTCATTTTTGAAAGAAGAATATAAAAAATAGCAGCATTCTTTATATGTAAAGCTACAGAATAAAAGATAAGAAGGGATTTCAGAATTTCTTCTAAATCTTGAGGTTTGTTGATCTGGAGAAGGTCTAAATATTTTAGATACAATAATTCCTTGAGGAGCAAGGATAGAGCATTGAAAGTAAAGGGGGATAATCAGTGTTTTTGAAGTTTACGTTTCCCTTGATCGTAGAATAGAAAAGATTTCATTGTTATCTTAAGGGTCACCTATTTTGAGTTGCATCAGAATAAACTCACATAACCGTTGTCTGTTACATTAAACCAGCTTGGGTTTTGCACCAATCCATTTATGAATGATGTCTTCGCACCAAAAAATATATTGTTGTAAATCTGGTTTCCTGTTGGAAAATTATTTTGTGCAAAATGTAATAAGTTCTTTTCTGAATGTGGTTTTTTTTCCTTTCATTGCTTAAAGACACGTGAATATGAAATTTCCACCATATTTTCGGAATTTAGATATTTACCCTACCTCTAGGTTCGTTTGGGCTGTTTGCTTCAATAACTGCCAATTTTGGATATCTCGAAGCCCAAAGCCCAGACTTAAAAGGTACTTCCTATAAAACAGAATATTGCATGCAATTATTTTTATTTGAACTTCTTTCAGTCAGACAATACAAAATTGTTTCAGCCTTTCCCCACACAAACCTGAAGAGATTTGTAAAGAGTTCCATCAAATCGATGATCAGTTCCTCTATGATCCACTTGCAGGGCCGACAGAGTTGCATTGTAGAAAACATTTTTTCGAATGATATTATCTCGTCCACCTCCAATATTGGCGTGAACTTCATTCTAAAAAAGAAATAAGAAAACCTCTGTAACATACCTTAAAATGGTTCTTCTATCACAATTTTTTAGAAAATATGTAAAAACTTTTATAATTATTCTTAATTTGTGTTTTCCTATTTTTTCGACTTTTAGTGCTTTATAACTTAGGGAAATTTTTTTGCAAACTAAAAATGGTGGGGAAGAAAGCAAAACTGGTTGATGGGAAAAATTACCCGTTATATGGTATTAATACAATGACAAGTTTTAGTTAAAGAACTACCGTTCTGGCAATAAAACATATTAGACTTAGGTCAAAATCTACAAATTGCGCTGAAATAGTACAGAAATCATTCAGTTCAAAATAAAAATTCCTTGTTAGATTACTGCAGGTTTATTTTCGCCCTCTGTTATTGTCGCCTTTCACATTTGTAACCAATGTTGTCCCGTTTTAAAGTTCGCCCAGACAAAGTTGTGATTAAGACATAGTTACGCTGTCTAAATTCGCCCCTTTTCGCCCACTCGCAATGATTGCAAAATTAAGTGGCGAAAATAAACGGGAGAGAATTTTTTTCTGTATAAAGTATTTCATCAGAGCACTGTTACATGTACATATAATTGCATCTGTTGAATATCAGCTTCTAGTTAATAAACAGTAATAATCAAGTTAAGTATTACAGATATTTGCACTTTACTATTTGACTTTTTTAAACAAAATGACGTCATACTCACGTCGTAGAAGACATTGTCCTCTATCGTGACTGAGGAGTATTCGTCATCAAGCATTATACCTCTGACATCTGCGCCGGGGAAGAAACGAAGTGTATGATGAATGTGGTTTTTGCGAATAATATTCCCTCTCTGTAAATATCAAGTATTATGAAATAAAATATCAACATTGCGTATAGATTTCAGTAACTTTGATCAAGCTGTGATTCGGTGATATTTTTCATATCAAAGGTTTTATTTTCTAATTCTTAAAAAGAACATAATAAAGACAAGGGCTGAGAAATTAACCATACCGACGTCCAGTCTCTTCCCGCGTGAATACCCCCACAATCCGAACTATTTTGACACGTGTGATGAACGTGGTTGTACTCCATCACGTGATCGTTGCCCTACGAAATATAAATAAACACCAAAATAAACATAAACAAAAGAAAATATTGATTCAGATATTAGACATCTTCCTAAAAGTTTAAATTTTAAAATTAAAATATTTTTCCAAGCAAACTTTTTTCCCTAAATTAAGTAAATTTTACTTTCGTGTTTTTTTTTTTCGAAGTGTTGTAACTATTTTTTAAAAATAAAATTGTAGTCTAATTATGTATGCCAATTTTTAGTAAGCCTTCTCATTTGCGACAGGCCTGCTGAACTATTTTGATTAAAGCTTTTTATCAAGGCTTGTGACGGTACAAATTGTCGTTCTGTATATATTGTCGTCAGCGACAATATGCACCTATATTCACTGCACATATTGTCATCCATCGGTACATATGTCGCAAGCTGAAAAGTTACACATGTACATATTGTAGCCAGCGACGTTATGTGTCTACCCTCAAACCCCAGTCACATTTCAAAGAACGACCAACTGCTGACGGTTTTGAGACAAAAATAGGATTCTTCGGGCGATGGTCAGCTATTCATCGGCCATTGTTTGCCCGATTTTGACCTCTTTTTTCATCGGCCGAGCGATTTAGTGTCTGTCGGGCCATGTTATAATTGCGTCTGTGGCCGATTCCTTCAACTGAAGCTGTCGTTGTATAGTCCGTTGACAAACCTTCGATCATCGTCCGACCATCGGCAGACAGTTCGTTAAGTCGATCGGTTGACATTGAGAAATTGGGTTTTCTTTAATGTCGGATGACGATGAAAATTAAACTGCGGTTTAGGAAACGATGATCAGGCAACAATTGGCCGACTTATAATAATATAATTTTTGAAAATTAAAGGTGTACCTAGGAATTAATGTGACTGCTCTGCGTCGCTCGATACCAGTGTCGGCCGATCATGCATGTTTTTCAGCCGACGATACGAGAAAAAATTGGTCGCCCGACCATCGGCTTAAATGTGACCTAGGTATCACTAGTACTGCACATATTGTCGCCTCACAGTTACAGTTGCTTAATGATTTATTTAAGTTGTTTTGTGAATATTGGTGTGTAAATCACATGTGGGCATGTCCCTCAGATTATTTCATCCAGCGCTAATTTGACGATACATATTTTCGTCTGTACACATTGTCGTCGATGCTATTATGTACATTATGTACTCCCATAACTGCACATATTGTCATCCGTCGGTATACGTGATATATTGTCTTAGACTGTACATATTGTCGCTGGCGACAAGATTTGCGTACCCTTACTACACATATTGAGATAACGATGATGGTAATGTGATGAAGATGACGGTGATAATGATGAAATAGTTAAGGAGGCTAAGTTTCACAAATTTTACATACATATATAGATATCTTTAATTTGAAATATTCATCCTTATATTAATTTCACTCTTACAAAAAAAACGATATCCAGCGCAATAAAGATTTTAACCAAGTCCATATAACTTCATATAAAAAGTTTTAAAGAGAAAACTTTTAAACAAGAGGCTAATTGGCTACAATGCTCACCTGGCACACGTTGATCCTTCTGTTTTGCTTAAGATTTTCTTCCCAATTTACATATATTCGAATTTGTTCTTCATAAGAAGATTTTGAAATAATTTTTCTATATATCTTAACATGAAACTTTGATTCCCAATGATGGTCCCAACCTACCCCCGGGGATTATGGTCTGACCAATTTAGAACCAACATTAGAATCAACACTATTTCAGGAAGCTTTCAACAAAGTTTCATCTTATCTGCTCCAGTGGTTCTGGAGAATAAGATTTTTAAAGAGTTTTCCCATATATTTCAATGGTAAACTTTGATTCCCAACCGTAGCCCAACCCTACCCCGGGGGTCATGATTTGAACAATTTAAAATCTACTCTACCTTTCACATAAGTCTCAGCTTTTTTTGCTCAGTGGTTCTGCAGAAGAATATTTTTAAATGATCCTACCTCATTTTGGCTTCTTCTTGATTATCTCCCCTTGGAAAGGAATTTGGTCCTTTATTTCAACAGCTTAGAATCCCCTTTACCCAGGGATGCTATGTACAAACTTCAGTGAAAATTTGCCCAGTGGTTCTTAGAAGAAGTTGAAAGTGTGAAAAGTTTACAGACGGAAGGACAGACAGACGAACACCGGACAACGCTTATTAGGAAGTGCCAGGGACGACCGATTATGCTTCGTTATAAACTTAATTCGGTATACATGTATCTGTTAAGATCACAATATATTTAAAAGGCACGGGGAATAAAATCACTTCGCTGTAAATGTCAATTCACTATAAGATGTTCAATATAAACATGTTTTACTGTAATAAGAAAAAAGTATGATTTAGTTAAATAAATATTCCGCTTTTTTATGTATCATTGTCATACAATTTTCTAGCCAAAAAGTTTTCTCCCTTCAGTATTGCGAGAAACTATGTCTGTCTGAATCCCTCCGTGATTGTTTGTGTGTGTGGGGATGGGTGTGAGGGTGTGTTTGTGTATGTGTGTGAGGGAGGGAGTGTGTTTGTGTTTTTTTATCTCTCTCTTCACGACCCTAGTAAATATTCCTTAAAGCAATATATCGATGTCAATATGTGCCGATGCTTAACTGTACATATTGTCGTCCGTTATGCGAAAGCAAAATAAGGCTTGTCCCGGTGTAAAGACGAATAATGACCCCCATAGAATAATGACCGGGGGGTCATATTTCAACGACAAAAAATGACCCCCCACCCGTAGAAAAAATTTTTTTTTGTAGAAAAAGAGACCTAGGGGTCAATTTTTTATGTGTGCGTCCTATAAAAAATTGACCCCTGTTGAAAAATGACCCCCTTTCCAACAGAGTGCATGTACAAAATTTATAACGGGTGACTGATGCCAAGGTTTGAACCTCAATGTTTGATATTCTTCTTTATGCCTTTTTTGACCAACACTGGATGAACGCGCAATTAAAATACAATAAAACCGCATTACATTTACCTGCAAATTTCTATCTTTTAAGCCTACTATGTTCTCAGCACATATTGAAAATCGCAAAATGGCTACTATTGGTTTTAACTGATAACGTAATTTCCCTTTATGACTGTCTTCCATTTGTTTCATATTTGGATATTTGACTGATTATAGGCATTCATAGCTAAATAACAGACAAGCGGGATGTTCTGGCTTTTCATTGGTAAACATGCATGTCTCCCAAAGTAATCAGCATGCTTTGAGTAGGATCAATCTTTTTTTTAAAAAAATGAAAGGAAAAAAAGAATGAGATAAGTTTTCAGAAATAAATACTGAAAGTTATGCAATGTATTATATATGTAAATTTTGAATGACATAAAAAGTCGTGCAAATGAGGTAGAATGTATCGAAAATGACGTAATAACTCGTGCGAACGACATCCTGTGGGCAATCAGATTTTGGAACGCAGTTTGCAGTTCGCAATTCGCAATTCAAAAGTGAACTGCATTCCAGAACGCAGTTCGCAATTCAAAATTTAAACATAAGTCATGGGGTCTGAAATTTTCAGGGTAGCCTACTAGTGGCCAGTTACCACTTCTGTGAAAAAAATGGTGATGGTACCATCTCTAGTTTCCGAGATATAGAACTCCAGTTTTTAGGCCTACTATATAATACTATATGAATAAACATCGGGCTCGGGGACATCGAAGTCCCCTGTCCCCGGGTCTGAAATTTTGAGGGTAGGGTACTAGTGGTCAGTTACCACTTCTATGAAAAAATGGTGATGGTACCATCTCTAGTTTCCGAGATATAGCCCTCCAGTTTTTAGGCCTACTATATAATACTATATGAATAAATATCGGGCTCGGGCACATCGAAGTCCCCTGTCCCCGGGTCTGAGATTTTGAGGGTAGGGTACTAGTGGTCAGTTACCACTTCTGTTAAAAAATGGTGATGGTACCATCTCTAGTTTCCGAGATATAGCCCTGCAGTTTTTAGGCCTACTATATAATACTATATGAATAAACATCGGGCTCGGGCACATCGAAGTCCCCTGTCCCCGGGTCTGAGACTTTGAGGGTAGGGTACTAGTGGTCAGTTACCACTTCTATGAAAAAATGGTGATGGTACCATCTGTAGTTTCCGAGATATAGCCCTCCAGTTTTTAGGCCTACTATATAATACTATATGAATAAACATCGGGCTCGGGGACATCGAAGTCCCCTGTCCCGGGGTCTGAAATTTTGAGGGTAGGGTACTAGTGGTCAGTTACCACTTCTGTGAAAGAATGGTGATGGTACCATCTCTAGTTTCCGAGATATAGAACTCCAGTTTTTAGACCTATTATATAATACTATATGAATAAACATCGGGCTCGGGGACATCGAAGTCCCCTGTCCCGGGATCTGAAATTTTGAGGGTAGGGTACTAGTGGTCAGTTACCACTTCTGTGAAAGAATGGTGATGGTACCATCTCTAGTTTCCGAGATATAGAACTCCAGTTTTTAGACCTATTATATAATACTATATGAATAAACATCGGGCCCGGGGACATCGAAGTCCCCTGTCCCGGGATCTGAAATTTTGAGGGTAGGGTACTAGTGGTCAGTTACCACTTCTGTGAAAGAATGGTGATGGTACCATCTCTAGTTTCCGAGATATAGAACTCCAGTTTTTAGACCTATTATATAATACTATATGAATAAACATCGGGCTCGGGGACATCGAAGTCCCCTGTCCCGGGATCTGAAATTTTGAGGGTAGGGTACTAGTGGTCAGTTACCACTTCTGTGAAAGAATGGTGATGGTACCATCTCTAGTTTCCGAGATATAGAACTCCAGTTTTTAGACCTATTATATAATACTATATGAATAAACATCGGGCTCGGGGACATCGAAGTCCCCTGTCCCGGGATCTGAAATTTTGAGGGTAGGGTACTAGTGGTCAGTTACCACTTCTGTGAAAGAATGGTGATGGTATCATCTCTAGTTTCCGAGATATAGAACTCCAGTTTTTAGACCTATTATATAATACTATATGAATAAACATCGGGCTCGGGGACATCG